AATGGAATTTATACCTAAAATTGAGAATCCTTAATATGAAGTGAGGAAGAATGGCAAAAGAGATTCGTTTTGTGGCCAAAGGAAAGCTACGAGACAAAGAATAAAAGATTAAACAAGATTATGAAGGGAACCACCTCTACCTCTGTTCCAATTCGAATGACTTTTGATAAGTCATATCTCTTGTTATTTTCATTGTTGACATCTATGTCCCTGCAATCTAATTTATACTTGTTTTTCAAGTAAACTTTGTAATTATTCTTTTAAATATTAGAGAGCTATCAATTCACAATGACTTTTTATTTCAAAAAAATTCATTAGGTTCTTGAAATTTAAAATATTATTACATCTATTTTTTATTTAAGTATTATAAAGTCATGACAAAAAAATAAAATGTATGATTATTTTATATTTTCAAAGAATTAAATTATAACATGAATATCTAAAAAACTAATATAGTAAACTCACTAGTATTTAAAATACTAATTTAATATTTTATTCATATTTTTGTCTTGTTTTAATTCTTAACAAATTAATTTAATACAAATTTCTTAGAATTAAGAATTAAAAATGTTATTAAAGAATATTTCTTAGAATTAAGTTGCTTACTTATTCAAAGAAAGGGATAAAACATTTACAAAAAAAAAAGAAAAAAAGAAAGGGATACAACAATTATTTCAATTCAACCATTTTTTTATTTTATTTTCAGGAAAATTAGTTGTAATACAATTTTAAATTTAATCGTCAATAATTTCATTCTTTACATTATTATTGACATAATTTAATTATAATTCAGGATTATACTTATTACCTCTTATTATTTCTACAATAAGATAAAAAAATTATCTATCACTGACCTGAATTATTCATGCATGGATCAATTCGATCGATCAGACGGTAATAGAAATGTTAATAAAAGATGATAAATATAACCTAATAGTAAATAATTAAATATAACCAGTCTTTATTTAAAAAGATAAATCTGTTAAATTGTTAACTTTTAACCTAATAATGTATCACGATAATTACATGTACTATTATTGACTTCAACTTTAATCATTTTATTTGATTTTTTAATATCAATTCTTATAAGTAATATGAAATGATGATAAATCCGCAGAACTGCCTATTCAATAATACAAAATAAGAGTATTTTCTTAAGAAATTTTGTTATAGATTTATTTTAGGTAATTTTTTTTATCACGATAATTGCATTAACTACTATACAATTATTGTATTTGGTTTTTAATATAAATTTTATAAGTAATATACAATGATGATGATTTCACAAAAATGCTAGTTCTTAATATAAAATAAGAGTATTATTATAAGAAAATATTTATAGTTTTTTTAATAATATTTTTTTTAATAATTTAATAATTAATTAATTAAAAGGGAGAGTATCAAATTTAAGCCGCAAGAAACTCTATCTACTTTATCATCCAAGATTAGTTGCAATAGAAGTAAATTGCAACCCACATAAATTTCACCTACAATATTAGTGGTTTAACTTTTGAGGTAAGTTGTAGTTACTTCAAGGAGTGGTTTAACTAACCACTACCTATCTCTAAATTGCACGAGGAACCACTAAAATAAATTTATCTTTAAATTTCAACAAATTAAGATAACAAAACCTTAAATATACATTTTTTTACTTTAAAAATATGCTTATTTTATTGGAAACTTATCCATTGTCTTATATCTTATTTACTTGAAAATTACTTATTTTTTATTGTCAGAAAAGGTAGAAGTGTAGAATGTAGAACCGTTGTTTTAGTTTAAAGGTAGCAAATTTGCTGATTTATATTTTACCATTTATTCATAAATGTCCATTTCTTTTAAAACATTGAAAACTCTTATACTATGTATTAAAATTAGTTTTTATGACAAAGGGTATTTAAGTAATCATATTAATTATTTTTTCATATTGTAATCTATTGACATTTGAATTTTTTCTTATTAATACATGAACTTACACAAAAATAAAATAAAATTGGTTGCTCAAACAAGACATGATTATTTGATCATTATAATCTTTGCCTCTAAATATATATACACATATTACACACAAATATGTTCACATTTCGTGTATGAACTTGCTTATGAAAAAATCTTTTGGTGCATGAACTAAGAAATGGTTATTTCAACATTTGAATCTTTGCTCATTAATAAATATGTATAAAGTGTGTTCACCAAAAAAAAAAATATGTATAAAGTAATAGCATATTAGACAAGTTTTATCATAAAAAAGTGTCTTTACACATGTTCAATGCTAGATGAAACACTTATGGAAAAGTTCTCTTCTATTGGGAGACGTTTTTAAGTGCTTTCGAATTATTTTTTTTATTTGGTGAGACAGACCAATAAAAATAAGAGAGAGAAGAGAATAATTCTATTTTAATCCACATGTCATCCTCTCAATGAGAGGAGCACAAAATCCCGGCACATCCCAAATATTTTTTTCTCGTTAGTGGTCTCTTGTATTTCACAATCTTAAAACAAATATTAAGGTTAACAATAATAATAAAACTAATATAATTTATTTATATCTGTATCAGTATCCTATATATCAAAGTAAGCATTGTAAGTAATTCCTTGATTTATTACCACTAATCTTCGATTAATCAACTAAATTAACTTATCTAAATTTTAGCACATGAACTTAGACATAATCAAGTATTTATTAGTTTTTTTATTAGATAGATATTCCATCTGGTTTTATCTGTCACTTTGAAAAAAGAATTTGTTGTCTCATTTCATTTGTCTTTTAAAAAAATAGAATCATTAATTATTATTTTCCTAATTTTATCTTTATTATTGATAAATTAAAATGAAGGTTAATAATGATTAAAATTTTAAATATTTCAATAAAAATAATTTTTCGATAGATACTAATTTGTATTTGATGTTCTAATGAACCCGACTAATCCAATTTCAGGTTTGTGCCTCTCTACCCTCTCCAGGAGTTATGACTATCAGGATTTGAATCGACTATTTTTTTGGCAAGTCAAATCATAGGGTCTAGCTGTGAACTTTATTAATTCTTATGCAACAAATTTTTTTATAATTAATATTATTTAGCAACTTTCTTAATTCTTAAGCAAGAATTTTATAAAAGAAATATGCATAAGTAAAAAGAGTTAAGTATTTATATAAGATAAGATTAATTTAAAATAAACAAATAAGCTTGCATTTATTATAGGTTTAATTTAAAATATATTATAAAAATAAGGGATAAAATATTATACTTATAATTAATAAGGGAGAGAAAAAAATAAATATCCGTTAAGATTATGATCTAATGATATTGAAAGATAAAGTAGGTATAAAAAAGATAAAATTAGACATGAAAAAAATATATTTTTCTAAAAATGTAAGAACAAAACATATTCTTAAATCACTTTAGAAATAAACTAATTTTAAATATTTATTTTCCAAATTAAACGAGTTGTTATCGAGGAAGTTAGACAATATTAGCTATGTTACTATTTGCTTTCCACTTTTTTCTCGATTTCATTCTTAAATTAAAAGGTAATCTAATAATAATTTTGAATGAACTGCTTGTTTGGCACGCAATACCAGATTCTTTGCCAAATTTGTAGGAGGAGGATGACGTGGCAATCAAAAGTTAGAAAAGCATGAGGGTATTATCGTAATCGAACATCACCTCAGCCACTATATAATGAGATTGCCTCCTCCTGTTCTCCTCAACAACAACCCATCAAACTACTTTAAACCCAAATTTTCTCTTCAGTTTTATTGTTTTTCTGCTTCAACTTCTCTCTGCGTTCCTTCACGTTCCTCCAACTCCTTCAATCACTGTAAGTCATCTCGAATTCGATTTTTTTTTTAAATTTTTATAATTTTTTTTTCCCGGCGACACTATCAATGTTTGATTTTTTATTTTATTTTTATTGATTTAGGATAATATCGATTCAAAAATCTGAGTTTGAAAGGGGATATCTGAGAAGCATAGATTGGTCTACGATCTTTTTTTCCTTGTAATTGTGAGTATTTTTCGGATTCTTGTTTATGTTTTGGAGGAACAAATATGATCCAATTTTTGAATGAACTGATAAATTGAATGAGAGAGCCAATGAAGATTTCTTCCTTGGGTGTTGTCGCATTATTTTGACTATATTGTTTAAGGGATAGGTTATTCTATTTTTTTTTTTCATGCCTATTTTTACCATTTCTCTTGAAATTCTGAAGATTGAAACGCATCTTGAGGTCTCGTTGGGTATTTGCAAAGTTTATGTCAGTTAACCTTTTTTTTTTTTTTTTATATCAGATTGTAAGCTTTTTCTCTTGGGGGGGACTGGGAGGAAGATTTTGGGGTTTTGATTCTCAACATTGATTATAAGCTTTGATTTTGGGGTTTTATCTCTCAACATTGTTCTTTCCTCTTTGGACGTTTTAGAATACTGTTGATTTAAATTTCATATAGGGCTTAATTGCATGCCTCTCTGTTCTTTTTGATTGCGTTTGTATCTAGTGGTTAAGAAAATGGTTTGATCATTTAACAATAGTGATGTATTTGTTGTTCAATATTTGGAGAGGTTATATTATCTTATGCTACATGGTGAATTTATTCCGAATTGCTATTTTCCCTTCAGAATTTCATATATTTTAGTCCCCCACACCAATGGACAAACCTTGAAATCATGATTGCATTGTAATTACTTTCCATGTTGAAATAAACACATGAACTGTCGCTGATTTTGTGCTTTATTTCTTTGGTAGGAAGGTCTGGATGAACTGATGGAGTCTAAAGGTGGGAAGAAGTCTAGTAGTAGTAAATCCTTTTTGTACGAAGCTCCTCTCGGTTACACCATTGAAGACGTTCGACCGCACGGTGGAATCAAGAAGTTCAGATCTGCTGCTTACTCCAACGTAAGTTCCTACCCCATTTCTTTTGATAAATAGGGAAACATTTAGTATTAGACTGGTTGACTTTGATTTTTAATACTTCTTTTTCCCTTGTGCAGTGCATCCGCAAACCATCCTGAAATTTCCTTGGTTGTGACATAGCCCCTTGATTTTGCATACGACGATATTCCTAGTCTCCTCTTCTCTTTCTTCTTGTCGTCTTCCTTGCTTTTCTTGTTCTCTATCTGCAGAGCAACACTTCATTTCTTCGAGTCAAGATGGCCTTGACAGGCTCAGCTATTGGTTTTGAAGGCTATGAAAAGAGGCTTGAGATATCTTTTTTTGAACGTGGTGTGTTTGCTGATCCTGAAGGATTAGGCCTCCGAGCATTGTCTAAGGATCAATTGGATGAAATTCTGAAACCAGCTGAGTGCACTATTGTTGACTCGCTGTCAAATGCTTATATTGATTCTTATGTTCTTTCGGAGTCAAGCCTATTTGTCTATCCTTATAAAATTATTATAAAAACTTGTGGGACTACGAAATTGCTTCTGTCCATCCCTGTTATTCTTAAGCTGGCTGATACCCTTGACATTACTGTGAAATCTGTGAGGTACACTCGTGGAAGCTTCATTTTTCCTGGGGTACAGCCATTCCCTCATCGTAGCTTTTCAGAAGAAGTTGCCGTTCTTGACAGCTATTTTGGCAACCTTGGTTCTGGTAGCAAAGCTTATTTGATGGGTGACCCTGACAAGTCACAGGTTTGGCACATCTACTTTGCAAGTGCTCAGACAAAACGCTCATCAGAAGCCGTATATGGCCTTGAGATGTGTATGACTGGTTTAGATAAGGAAAGGGCCTCTGTATTTTTCAAGAAAAATACATGTTCGGCAGCTTTAATGACCAAAGCTTCTGGAATCAGGAGGATCTTTCCGCAATCTGACATATGCGATTTTGAATTTGATCCTTGTGGGTATTCAATGAATGGAATAGAAGGGAGTGCAATATCTACTATTCATGTTACCCCAGAAGATGGTTTCAGTTATGCAAGCTTTGAAGCCGTGGGATATGATTATGAAGACATAGATCTGACTGAACTTGTTGAAAGGGTTTTAGCATGCTTCCATCCAGCTGAGTTTTCTGTTGCTTTGCACATTGACATGCTTGGTGAAAAACCTGTTGACAAATTTTTCCTGGATATTGAAGGATATTATTGTGGAGAAAGGAGCAATGAAGTACTTGGAGCAGGTGGTGCAGTTGTGTATCATAGCTTTGTTCGAGCTGATGGATGTGCATCTCCTAGATCTATTCTGAAATGCTGCTGGAGTGAGGATGAGAACGAAGAGGAAGTGAGAGAGATATAGATCTGGTCCTCATATTTAGCTGTGGTTTATCTTTACTGTTGTGTTGCTACTTAAATTAATTAGGGTTATCCTTCGAGAGCAAAGTAATAAACGTCTTATGATGCTTCATTATGCAGTTTCTCCCTGTGTCTAATGCTATTTAGGAAGCGGAAGTAAGAGAGATATTTATCTGTTCCTCATATGTTGCTGTGGTTTATCTTAAAGTGTTATTACTTAATGCAGTTTCTTCTAGTTTCTAATCCTATGTAGGATTTGTCATAGGGAGTAGTGGGTGCTAGGTCATATACTAGTGTGTTGCTCCTGTATTTTATTGTTAAATAAATGAAACCATGCTATAATATAATTTAAATCTTCTTGATTGTTTTGATTATTAACACAGATGCTTAATAAGGCAATTCAACTTCAGTTGCACCTTTTTGATGGTGATCGCTCTGAAGCCAAAGCAACGTAATATTTATTATTAAATAAAATGCATGATTAGGGAATCAATAAGAAATACAATTTGATGAGGAATTTTGTTTGGTGAATTTCAAATTAATTCTACATTTGATTTACACGAGACAACTTTTCATGTATCGTATACCATTAACTTGTTCATGTGATGGAACCATCAAATGGCCAACACGAATTTTATAGATCAATTATACCAAAGTGCAGAGAGTAAAGATTAGTTGAAGTGGTGAGAAATTGTTATGGTTCATAAAACCATGGATATTTGTACATATCAAAAACACTAATTTATTATGATAAGTTTCAATTTACATGTTATTACCTTGTACATATAAAAAAATGACACTTGAGTTAATAAGTGATTACATATTAATAAATTTTTTTTATAAAAGGGGCTTTTACATGTGTCTTAATGATATTTGTTCCACTTGTATATACATGAGTTCAACATATATCTTTTGCATATTCAAATATTTTACTGAGATGGTGTGACTTATTGAAATCATGTAGCTTTATTGAAATGAAAATATGATATATGTATCTTCAATATTTTTTTTAAAAAAAAATTGGCATATTGGAAACTTTTATTAAAAATTGAAAATTGGGACACATGATCCATGTGATCGCTTCATGCCACAAAGCTCTATTACGTCACGACACTTGTAGGCTTTTGTGGACGTCTCTATAGAACCATGGTTGGTAATGCTGAATGTGTAGGCACTTTTTAAATAAGAGCAAGTGAATATTGAGAACAAAAATGAGACTACTCCTAGGCTGGGCTTGGACAGGATAGTTTGACTCACCAATGGGTGTTTATGGCCCGGCCTTAACCGAGGACAATAACCAGAATTGTTTGGTTTGGGTTGAGTCTAGTTTCGCTTAAATTTCAACTATGGACTAAGCTCACTTAATTAAAATGAACTTTTTTTTTTTTTTTTGGTAAAGAATTAAAATGAACTTTAATATATCTTTTTGACTCAGACTGCTTATATATGCGCATGGATATGCTTACATACTGACTTCTTTCAAGTTGTTTTCATATTATATAAGATTTAATTTTTTAGATTTATAAATTTGTTAAAATATTTAATATATGCATTCAATTATTGAATATGATTTAGCTCAGTCAGCCTAACATAAACCCGAAATTGAAAATAGCTGATTTGCTTGGGTCCAAAGCTTCCCTCGGATTAAGGGCACATTTCATGCCACTCTTTTAGAGGGAATTTTTCGCACTTGTTGATCAGTATTCGTAATTCCTAACTCTTACGCCAGAGATGAGTTATTTTTATTTATTATTGGCTAATAATGAGAAAAGTTTTAATTTGATGTAATAGCTGAAATCTTTGGCTGAAAAAGTCTACATACACATCTATTTCGTTACAAAGTTCACTCATACAAGATATTTTAGGTTTTGTGTAAAGTTCAAGAGGCACCAACTACCGTCAAATGTTGCCAAGTGCAAGTGTACAAAATTGCAAAAAGTGATAGGTGAAGATAGTTATCATTAATTTATAATGGTTAATCTTTGTTCAAGCTATCTCTATAATTATTGGACCAATTACTCCTTAAGTATTATTGCGACGACCCTTCCAATAATTTTGTATTAAACATATATCATATAGCTATTATGCAAGTTTGTGTGTAGAGGAGATTATTTTCGTTTTAAGGTTAAATAAAACTCAAAACCTTTCCAATACTAATCGAGTTAATAATAAAATATCAGAGAAGAAAAAAAGGATGAATTTCATACCACTTTTCATAGAAGCTCTCAGAGTAATAATTAATCACTCTTGAAAAACTGGGACTATGAAAATATAATTATAACATATATGGTTTTGATAAATTAAAGAATAAAGAAAATAAGTTTTGGATGGCTTCAATTCCTCAAAATAGTATCAAAATTTCTCAGTGAGATTGAGTTTGTTGTAATACCTTAGATATAGGAATTATGAACTACGCTCTGCTGGTCAACAAGTGCTGAATGATTCCCTATTCCCCCTTTGTTAGAATGTCATGACAACTGCCCCTGAAATCAGGTAAAGGAACAACATTGAAAATTTCAATTTTTGATGGCCAAGAATTGGGGAAAACACGTGTTGAGCAATGCAATGTTTTGAATATAAATCTCAACCGAGTAGCAAATTAATCTGCATCTCAAACATAACAATTATTGATATACTTAATTAGTTCAATCAGTAACAGTTTTGAAAAGAAGATGGAGTCTGAGAAGATGAGCTACAATGCTGGAGTTGCCAAGGGCCAAACTCAGGTAATTTCCTTTTCTCAATCTTGATATATATATATATAGGGTTATGTTTATCTCATTTTACATGAGATAAACAACTCTCCTACACACACAAAAAGAGGTTGAGTCCCACCATTTTTTTTTCTCTTTCTTCTTACTTGTGGGTCCCACTTATACTTTTATTTCTACAACATAAGGTAATTTTTTTCCTACAACATAAGAAAAATATATCCTATATATATATCTATATGTCTGAGATACAAGCACTTTTTTAAATTAACTGTTCACAAAAAAAAAATTATATATGCTTTTGTGTTTCTTACAGGAAAAGGCCAGCAACCTTATGGACAAGGCTAGCAACACTGCTCAGTCTGCTAAAGAATCCATGCAAGAGGTTCTATAAGTTTTATTTTATTTGTGTGAAGATGTGACTTTTTTTAATAGAATTGTGCATGTAATTTGCATCATGGTTCTAAGACACCAAAAAATGCTAGCACATCTTTGTGATTTAATATCATACATGAATTTTATGAATAAAATGGACCCCAAAAATTTAGTAATGTTTATTTTTTGTGTGTGTAGGCTGGTCAGCAGATGAAGGCCAAGGCACAAGGAGCTGCTGATGCCGTGAAGGATACAATCAACAAGTGAGGATTAATGGATCATTTTGCAGGATTTGGTTTCCCTTTACGCTTTCTTTTTACATGCCTTGTTGATTCAACTGTAGATAATTATAAATATATATCTCAGTTAATCTTGGGCATATTCATAAGTTGATTTCATTTCATTGCAAATGTAATCATTTCACTCATAAGTCTAGTGAAATCAAATTCATTATTTAATAGAAAGTTTCAAATTCCAATTTCGATCCCTGAGAAAGTCAACTTGAAAGAGAAAGGGAAAAATAAAAATAAAAATTCTTCTTATGCAAATTAGATTGGATGATTTGGATCTAAAACAATCTAGATCTATGTCTTTGGGGGAAAAATTCAAATAAAGAAGAAGATAAATACAACAAAAAGGAAATGAATTTTCATTTGGTCTTACTGTTTGTAAATCTAGAAGTGTAAATGTAAAAAATAGTTCAAAACGAAATAGTAATTGTGAGAACAAAGAAAGTGAAAAAGTAATATTACTTATTAAACTCCACGTTCATGACTGTGCATAACTTTACAAGTTGCTTTATTTGATGAGTTTATCGGAAAAAGAAAAAGAAAAAGAAAGTCTAAAGTAAAAAAATATCTATAAAAATAAGATAGTCAAATATATGAAAATGTTTTTCTTTAACTAGTTTTTCTCGAGGTACACGAGCTGATCTTCAAATTCTCAACTTCGACTTGAATAAGAAAATGTTTTCAAACTATCAACTACATTGATATTATGCTCTTTTCAAACAATAGAAGATATATGTCAACAAAATCTAGCATAATTAGTACATAACTAGGTTTCTTAAACATGTTGACAGGAATTCGACTCCTGACTCTCTATGTATGAAAAATGCTTTGTAAATTAGTCTTCGACTATCGACAATATCAACCTCCACCTTCTTTATTACTGTGTGAGTTTAATGTTTTTCTTGCAAGTTCCGTTTATCTTTTAATTTAAATTCTAAGAAAATTACTATTTGATTCTTCATGCATTACTTTCAAATCGGCTTTTTTAAGGTACATTTCAAACCCTAAGTTTAAATAAGACAAATGATGTTCATTGAAAAGCTTGCGCAGTTGCACGTTACATTTTTTCATTGAAAATTAAATTTTTTAATTCTGTTTCCTATCTTCTGAGATATTATCTTTTATCAAATAAACTCTGAAAATATAATCATTCCATTCACGTATTACTTTGCTAGAATTTTTTTTTAACTTAATTAATGTGAATTATCAAATATTTATACACTGTTTGGTATGTTGCATAGACTTATCAAAATTTACTATAAACCAACAACCAATTAATATTTAATAATTCACTTTGAATATAATATCCATGGTAATAGCTCTCACATGTTAAAACCTTAGTAGATGGGCTGATGCCCTCTACATCTACTAAAAAAACCTTTGTAGAACCAACTGCAATTAGATGATTACAATTGTATAAATGGATGATAGTGTATATATAAATGTATAAAGTAACACTACAGATCTTCTAAAATTTAGTTTATCTTTGACTATTTTTGTCGATAGCCACTAAACATTATCATCTTAGATTGATCACTCTGCTTTTATGAATAGAAGTTGTACTTCTTGCTGCTTCTTCTTCTTCCCTTTTTTTTTTTTTAATCTTTTAATGTGTTTGTAAATTTTTTTACATAATTTTAAAGCATATAATATGCCTTTAATAATGGGTTTTCTTAACTAGTAACCTAAGAGATCAATTAAGAGCATGTGTTTGATCCTCCTAATATTATTTTTGCAGAGATTTAAAGCCTTAATCTCGAAATCCGCCTTGAATTGGACTAGTTGCGAAATGATGAACCGATTGTAATATCTCAAACAACAACAATTGATAGAAAAACCCTTCATTAATTAGGAATATTTTCCAATTGGAATTAGGGTCAACAAATTTTTTTTTCAATAATGATTGGTAAATATGTCACAAGCTACTCACATTCAAAATTATTACTCAAGTGATCATTAACAAATTACACAGTATAGTTGAGGAATTTCTATACTTGTTAAGAGACATGTGATCAAAAGATAATTGATCACACATCAAAGATATGGAAAACCTCAAGACCATGCATATATATATATATATATATATATATATATATATATATATATATTTCGTTTTTTTTGTAATGGAAATAAGATATCTGCATTTAATTCAAAACGACGTCGTTTTGGGATAGAAATCAAGGTGTTTTTATAATTTTAATTTATTTCAGAGTTATAATAGCCTTTATAATTATAATTTTTTAATATTTCAACACCAAAACGACGTCATTTTGAAAATAAATGCAAATAACTTATCTACAGTAATTGCGGAAATATTTTTCTGATATATATATATCTCATTAGACACCACAGTTTAACTTGTTTCCAAGTTTGGGTGAACTAAATAATGTAATTAACCAATAACCATTGGTTCAAATGGTAATTTTTTTTTTCTTAATCAGAGATCTCGAGTTCGAGCCACCTCTTCCAATAATAAGTTTGACAATGTTCGAACTAAACTAATCGAATAATGGATGAGTTGGTGGGTATATTAAGAAAAAACAAGTAATTAAATGTGCATGAAAACCCCACACATATATATATATATAGGGTTATAATATATCAGAAAAATGTTTGTCCTTCTCAAGGATGATCATTTTAGTTAAAACTAGTATTTTTTATTTAAAATTTTAATTAAAAAAGGGAAAGACTATACTTACTATCATTTTCCCTTACTATTCTTACTACCTACTTGATTACCGTTTGATCAATTTGAAATCAATGGCAGTTAATTTTTTTTATTTTCTTAATTGTTGATTTCAATTTAATCCAATAGTAATCAATCAGAAAGTAAGATTTGACCCGACTCATGAAGATCTAAATTTACATGTCTAAAAAAATTTACATGTCTAAAATTGGTTGTTGGAGCTAAGTTTGGACTTGTATAAAAGCTCGTTTAATAAAAAGACCTCAGACTCTAGTTCAAAAGCCTGGCCTTAAAGCCTTTCAAGCTAGCCTAATATACTAACTTTTATTTTATATTTTTTATACTACTCATAATAGTCCCCTCTTTCTCCTCAACTCATTTCACCCCATTTTATTGGTTAAATGAACCTTTTGAATTATTTTGTTCTATATTGTGTTGTTTGGATATACATTGAATTTATGAATCTTTATGAAATTATTAGTGCTGTTGATTGTATATTCTGTTTGGATAAATTTTTGTTGTCTTAATTTTTTTAACAGGCTAATAGGATAACTTAGCAGTGTTGTTAAATCCTACCCGGGCATCGACCCGGTTAGGGTACTGGGTCACTGATCGGACCGGTTGACCCAGATATATATAGATATATAAAAATATATATAAATATGAACATGTAAATTCAATTATATTTTCCATATCTGAAATGAATTAAACAAGATTCAATAAATAAGCTCAAAAACATGAAGCATAAATAAATAAAAATACATGCTATTATTATGTCAATTTAAATTGCAACTTAGAATCCTCATAAACATACCTCTCAATGACATTGAACTCATATTTTTCAAATTTAACTATATTAAAATGACATAATTCACATTATCTAATTTATTATTCCACAAATTGCCTCAGTATTGGAAACTAAGAGGTCATTGTAGATGAGTATACTAGCAAATAAAATTACAAAAAAATTTAAAATGAGTTTTACATTTTTTTTGATAAGATGAAACAGTTTTGGTGTTTATCTTTTATTTTATTTTTAAAAAATGCATGACCGACCGGGTCACTGGGTTGCCGAGTCACTGGGTTTGGTCGGGTTTGTCCGAATTTTGACCGGATTTGACCGGGTCGATACATGACTGGTCCAATGCTTGACCCGAACCGGTCTGATGACCGGTTCATCGGGTTCTGGGTCGACTCGGCCGGGTCGGACCGTGTTTTACAACAGTGTAACTTAGGCTTTTATTTTTTGTAAATAAATCAGGGCACATGCCAATAGTTATATTCATAACAAGTAACATGCTAGGTCAAACTGACACATTTAAACACAAACTTAACATTTTAAGACAAAAGCTCGACCCGTTAACACCCCTATCTACAACTACCCTTTTTTAACTAAGTTTGACCAGTAAGACATAAAAATTACATTTTCTCTCTTTGCCACATCAGCCGACAATGTCTGAAAAGAGAGAAAAAAAAGAATGCTTTATTGTTATAACTCTGTCTTACTGGTCATATTTAATTAAAAAAATGTAGCTGAAAATACTCTCTGTCATAGAGAGAGAAAAAATATTAATGAATAGAGAGAGAAAATACCATGGACATGAGGTCCACTATTCTTGCTTTCTCTGTGGCAGAGAATATTTTTTTATCCTAGAGGCAAAAATATTTCTCAAGCTGTTTGAGATATATTATCTCCGGTCACTCCAAAACTACATTGTTTTGTTTAGTTATTTCTTTATATTAATTGATTCATCTTTAAATGGTTATGGTTTTCTTTTTCTCTCTTATTTTATTACTCCATCTTTGTACGATTATGATTTAGTAGCCGGAGATAAAATTATCTCAAGCAGCTCGAGAAATAATAAGCTATATATATATATATATGTGGGGTTTTAGTTTGTCCTTTAACATGACATGAAAAACTTTCCTACACACACAACATTTTGTGGGGCCCACACTTTTTAAAGCAAAAAAAAAAAACTAAGGCACGCAAAACGAATCTCTATAAATTACACAATCACTTTTCCTACAATATAGCTCTTATAAAACCCTATATATATGGAATCAACAGACAAGATTGAGAGTGTAACTTACACTGGTGTAAAATGATCCTAACCCTATATATATATATATATAGGGCTTATCGTTTCTCAAGCTGCTTGAGATAATCTTATCTCTGGCTACTAAATCATAACCGTACAAAGTTGGATAAATGGTGATAAAGAAAGAGAGAGAAAAAAGGAATTATAACCATTCAAAGGTAAATCAATTAATATAAGAAAATAAATAAATAAAACGACGTAGTTTTGGGATAGCCGGAAATAAACTTATCTCAAGCTGCTTGAGAAATGTTTTTCCCATATATATATATATATATATATATATATATATATATATATATATATGTATAGGGAAACATATTTCTCCGAAAACTTGAGATAAGTTTATCTCCGACTACTCCAAAACTACATCGTTTTGTTTATTTATTTCCTTATATTAATTGATTCACCTTTGAATGATTATGATTCTCTTTTTCTCTCTTCCTTTATCACCATTGATCCATCTTTGTGCGGTTATGATTTAGTAGCTGGAGATAAAATTATCCCAAACAGCTTGAGAAATGATAAGTCGATATATATATATATATATATATATATATATATATATATATATATATATATGATGAATATATAATATATAAATTGCACCGATACGCACCACTAGGGTTAGCCTAGTGGTGTGGGGTGTGTGTGTTAGAAGTGTGTGTAGTGTAGGGTGTTGTGTTCAATTCCTTGTAACCTCCAAAAAAAAAAAAAATTGCACCGATACAAAAAATTTCTCCAATTAAAATTTATATATTCATTTCACAAGAAAGAATTTGTCTATACATTAAATCAGCAAGAACAGAACCTAGCTAAGAATAGTAATTAGTTCTCCTCCACACCACAGCTCTCCTGGTCAACCGGTTTAAATGCATCTCCTTAAAAATAGCATAAATAAAATGTTAGGATCCACGTGGACCCCTGAACATGTGGTAGCCAAATGCAATTCTTTGTGAAACTTACATATAAATATCAACAGAGTGTAGGAAAATTAATCATCATCTCAAACTTTAATTAATCTCGATCTTCAGTTTATTACAGTTTCATAGAAGATGGACTCCCAAAAGATGAGCTACGAGGCTGGACAGGCCAAGGGCCAAGCTCAGGTTCTCTTACTATTCTCACATTTTTAGTCTTTTGGGCGTGCTCAATTTTATATAATATGTTTCTGAGTTGCATAAATGCAATTTACTTAACGATTACATATAATTAATTATATACGTTTTCTCTTTGTGTGTGCATATTACAGGAAAAGACTAGCAACTTAATGGATATGGCTACCAATGCTGCCCAGTCTGCTAAAGAAACCATGCAAGAGGTTCTAATTTTTAACTAATCAACTTGAATGCTTTGTTATGGTGTGAATGTCATGCATGTTTAATTATGTTTTTTTTTTTTTTTTTTAATTGTATGCAGGCTGGTCAGCAGATGATGGCTTCAGCGCAAGGAGCTGCTGATGCTGTGAAGAATGCAACTGGCGTGAACAAAAAGTGAACTAATTAAGCTGAATTGATCATGATCATCCAATTTCAATTAGTTTTTGTTTTTTCTTCTTCTTTGCTAGGGCATTTATGTAAAAAGATGCTCTAATTTAGGTTTATTTTGTATGGTGCTCCTTTTTAGGAGGAGTCTTGTGAATAACTCTTTATATTGTTTCAGCAAGAGAACTTTATGATGTAGCTCTTGCTTATTCATTAATCAATGAATTAGATTCGAGGATAATTTAATACCTTATAGATTTTAATCATGAAATAAAACTAAATCAAAGAGGTGCTTATTCCAATCCTTGATCATGCTGCTAGAAGGCAAGTAGAACTAGTACTATGTCATTCAATCATTTTGAGCTAGCACTGGCCTATGATCATAGTTGAACAAAGATGAAAAGTCAAAGCCTCCTAAAACATCAATCACTATTTATCTCGGTTTGCTAAATTATGATCAATACGTTCTCTTAATCCCCTTCTTTCTGAAGTAAATTTTTGACCATTGTAGCCCAAGTTAATCAAGAATGCAGTGATTGATTGAGAACAACCTCATACTTCTAATACATTGGATCTTTTCAAGAGAATTACTATCTATCTTATTATGTCTTGCAGGCAGAAAGTAAATGCTCTTATTTGATCAACGCAAGCATGACTTATATGTTATGTAGCAAATCACTTATTTAAGTAATGGGATGGTATGGTCGTCAGGAAAAATTCTCTTTTTAGACATTTGTATGTCCACTTTAAGCAGAGATCTAAGTGCCAGGGCTTGTAAGGATGAGTTCTAATGCAACAAGGGCAATACTTCAGCATGAATTTGAGCTTCAAATAAAGGAGAAACCATCTATTACTCTCGACTATTGAACACTATGGAAATATTAAAGAAACTATGTATAATATAGTAGGTAGAGTTAAGAGTATCAAGTTCAATTGTGAAAAGAACTTTATTCACTTTCATGTGTTTGCTCCTCAAATGACAACTAGATTTATTGTTTTCATTTTGGGTCTTGGTAAATGAAACTCATGTTACTATTAGCAGATGTGTGTCCCCCATCAACAGGAAGATTGTGTGCTGTTATGAATCCAGATTCATCACTAGCCAAGAACAGAGCAGCATGTGCCACATCTTCTGTGGTTGCACCTCTCCCCTTAAGTAAACTTGCCCTCTTCCCAATATATTCACTCAATTGTTCAGGGGTAATATCAACTTTCCCAAACCTTCTACAAGCACTGAGAAGCATCTCAGAGGGAACCCCATGTGGAGAGATTGAGTTAACACGAATCAAATGCACTCCCAACTCACAAGCAGCACTTCTAACTAACCCATCCATTGCTGCTTTTGACATGGTATAGGCATGTGAAGCTAAGCCACCCATGATGGCTGCTGCACTTGAAGTACATATGATGGAACCTCCTTTCTGACCTTTGATCATTGCCCTTGAAGCATGTTTGATTCCATGTATGGTTCCGTGAAGGTTGATTGAAAGTAAATGCCTTACAAGGTCCATATCAAGGGTTGTGATGCTTCTTCCTTCAGAGCCTGCAATTCCAGCATTGTTGAGCATTATATCTAGATGGCCTTTCCATGCAACTGCAAGGTCTATAGCTGATTCAACATCTGATTCCTTTGACACATCACAATGTATGTAGCGTCCCCCAATAGAGTCAGCTACTATGGCACCCAGATCATCAAGCACATCAGCAATCACAACATGTGCACCATTTTCTGCAAACAATCTTGCTGTGGAAGCACCAATGCCTCTTGCACCACCAGTTATAACTGCCACCTTACCAACTAGCCTTGAAATTAAAAAGTGATTGAATTGCACAAGAAATATTATTATTCAGTTGAAATTTCTTATACATATCATATGATTATTGATACACTGGAAAATGAGATCATCAACAAGGTTAATAAGTACTAACCTTTTTGTAGATGACTCTTGAGTTTCAACATTCAGAGTCATATGTTGCTCCATTTCATTCATGCAACGTGTTATATTTTGTTTCTATTATTCAGCAATTAGATTGATCTTATATATTGATCAATCAATTATTTGAGGGATGAATTAAAATCAGGTGCCCACAGTATGCTTTGTTCTTTACGTAAACATGCTTGCCGTGCCTTATAACTACTTCTACAACTCATTCTTTTTATTTGTATTTTATTTTCTTGATTCCATGCTCTTGGTTCATCTAATTTCATCCAAGTCTCATGTTCCAAAAAAAAAAAAAAAAAAACGAAAAACTTATGGAGTGGAATCCCTTAACATCCAAAGAAGGCAAAATAACATAGTGTGCAACATATTTTAATCTTTACATATGTTTAATTTCTGAAATCAAATAAATCAATGTTATAAAAGTATCTCACTCTCTCAAGTTTTGTCTACCAAAATAATTTAAAACAAATATGAAAAAAATACTATTGCACCATTTATTTCAAGGAAAATAACATAAAAATATTAAGTATATTTTTTTTTGGCGATTTCTTCACTAGTTCATCAATTACTCAACTAATCTAGTCGAGTCGGGCATGATTACAAGGATAACAAAGTTCTTTCTATCAAGTTTTTGACATAATTGTATACTCAGAAGTCAAATTCAAGACAACTAATTAAGGTAGAATAACCCCAAGCCAGTTAATTCACATGTTTGGTGATAAAATCTCTTTTCTTCGAAAAAACTGTAAAACTTACTCTAAAAACATTTTTTTCAAACACCACTCACTTAAAATACAAAATATTTCTTTTTGGTGACCTTAAAAAAATTATTTTCGGTAAACTTATAATTTAAAAAGACCAGAGCCCAATGGCATTGGCAATGGAGGGTAATCAGGGTACCCGAATCCTATTTCGCAAGGCCCAAATCAAAATCAAAATCTCCACTCAAAAAAAGAAAATAAAATACAAATCCCTCTAAAACCCTAGTTTCTGTTTCACTCCCTCTCCCTTTCTTCTCTCACTCACAATCTGTGCATTTTCAAAATAAAAAAGAAATTTCTTTTTTGGGTTACCTTATGAAATTATATTTGGTAACTTATAAAGACCAGAGCTCAATGGCATGCCCCGATCCTAATTCCCAAGGCCCAAATCCAAATCTAAATCTCAAAAACAAAAAAAAAAAACTCTAAAACCCTAGTTTCAGTTTCTCCCTCTCTCTCTTCCTTACTTCTCTCACTCAAAATCTCTGCATTTGGTTTCAAATCCGAAACCGTTTGATTCGTTGTTTGCAGCAATGAGACATCAATGGCGTCTTCGTCATCTTCTTCTTCTTCGTTGTGCTGATCATCGCATTTCCAATCACTCTCAGCAGCTTCAGGTACTTCGCTCTTTCTCTTCTATTCCTCGCTTCACCACAAATTCCACATACCCATTGGGCCCCGCTAGTTTTCTCCGTCGTTTCTCTTCCGAGCCCGTTCTCGCACACGCCGACTCGGATCACGTTGTCATCGCCGACATATTCTCAAAACCTAGGGATTTCGACTACGTCAAGAAGCACCTCGATTCGAGTCACGTTTCGATTAACCACGATGCGGTTCTTGTTGTTCTGGGGAAGCTCGATTCAAACCCTGACGTGGCACGGAGGTTCTTCAATTGGGTTTTGGGAAACGACCCTGAGAGGTTGAGTTCCAAATCATACAACTTGATGCTGCGCATTTTGGGGACAAACGGCGTCGTTGGTGAGTTTTGGGACTTGGTTGGTGTCATGAAGAAAAAGGGTTACGGTGTTTCCAAAGGTGTGAGAGAGAGTGTGTTGGAGTGTTTCGAAAAGGGTGGAATGGATGGCGATGCGATGCAGTTGAAGGCTTTGTTTGATAATGATGAGAAGAAGAATATTTCAATAGTGTGTAGGATTGTTAGAAACAATGTGTGGGGTGATGATATTGAGAGGCAAATTCGCGACTTGAATGTTGGGTTCACTAGCCAAGTGGTTAAGTTGGTTTTGGAGAATTTATGTAATGAGCCGAGTAAAGCGTTGATATTTTTCAGGTGGATTGAGGAGAGTGGGTTGTTTAAGCATGATGGAGGCAGTTATAATGCCATGGCGAGGGTATTGGGAAGGGAAGACTCGATAGATAGGTTTTGGAAGCTTGTTGGTGATATGAGGAGTGCCGGGTTTGAGATGGAGATTGAGACATTTGTTAAGGTGTTGGGGCGGTTTTGTAAGAGGAGAATGATTAAGGATGCTGTTGAGCTTTATGAATTTGCTATGGCCGGCACGAATAAGCCTTCGCCGGAGTGCTGTTCCTTTCTGTTGAGAAAGGTTGCTGCTTCTAAGGAGTTGGATATGGGTTTGTTTTCAAGGGTTGTGAAGGTTTATACTGGAAATGGGAATGTGTTGACTGATTCTATTGTTGATGCTGTGCTCAAGTCTTTAACCAGTGTTGGTAGGATTGGAGAGTGGGATAAGGTTTTGAAAGAAATGGAAGATTGTGGCTTTGTTGCTAGTGGTAATTTACGGAGTAAAGTTGCCTTTCGACTTAGTGCTGCTGGTAACAACGATCAAGCTCATGAGTTTGTGAATAGAATTGAAGCATCTGGATGTAATCCAGATCACGAGACATGGTGTTCTTTAGTTAAGGGGTATTGTGTGGCTGGGAACCTTGATAAGGCTTTTGATTCTTTTAAAGAGATGGTTGAGAAAGAGGGGGTCACTTCTGCCAGCTATACTTTTGATTTGTTAATGAATTCATATTGCCAAATGAATAGGGCAATAGATGCATGCAAGATTCTTTGTCAAGTGGTGAATGAAAAAGAGTTTAAGCCCAGGCATTCTACTTACAAGCTGCTGGTAACTAAGTTATTGGCTGAGGAAGAATTAGCAGATGCTTTAAATATTTTGGGTTTAATGAGAGCCCATGGATTTCCACCTTTTACAGATCCTTTTATTGAACATATACCAAAGAGTGGAAGTGGTGATGATGCTATTCTGTTTCTGAAGGCGATCACTTCAAAGAGGTTTTCATCTACATCCATGTTTCTCCTCATGTTTGATGCCTTTTTCAAGCATGGACGGCATGAAGAAGCACAAAATTTTCTCTCCAAATGTCCACGCTACATCCGTAACCATGCTGATGTCTTGAATCTCTTTTGTACCATGAACTCTAAAGAAACTGCTTCTTCGGGTATGTTGGCTGCTTAACTTTTCAGAATAAATCTCATATTGTACTCTTTTGAAAAATGTACAATGGCATTTGTTCAGAAATTTTGGTGAGAATTTATTCTTTTGTCCTTGATCTTAATTATTGATCTAAGAAGTTGAATTCAAATAAGCCAAAAAACCCCAAAGTTTTTGACATTCTATGATTGTTTTTATGCTATTTGTGTTTCACATGTACCGCATTAGTCCTGTCTTCAACATCATTATTGATTGAAGGACAGCAAACGAATGCTTTGGTTGGTGCTTGATATTAGTGGACTTTGTAGTTCTCTACGCATTAGACTGTCTCAATGTAAATTGTAGATTAAACTGATGCTATAAATTTGCACGTACAAAAAACTCAATTATTTCTACATTAGATTTACCTCTCGATGTGTCAGTGTTGTCGCCAAACTTTTATGTGCAAATCCACATGTGGCACTGCACACTTCTCTATTTCAGTGTTGTTCGAACAGCATTATCAGTAGATTATTGCCTTTAATTTATTATGCAAGCTTCATTTGTCTTGGACTGAACTATTTTCGGATGAGATACTAATGTTTCTAGTCTGAATTACGGTAATGTAACACGTTCCAAAGTTGTGGGTAAACGTGTTTAATTGTTTCTAAGCTTGGGTTTTTGTCTTTCTTGACCAATTTGCATGGATACATGAGGAGCCATAACCGGGTAGGTATTTGACTGGAATATAGGACTGTTTGAACCAAGACAATTGAAAAATTTGTTGTGTGTTTTACTCTATTAACAGCAACAACACTTTTATCCCAAACTAATTGGAGTGTGTTTTACTCTATGGTTTAGTCAATTTTCTAACAATATTGAAATCATGAATGTTAATGCTGTGTTTAAGAGTGGTTTATACATGGTTTATTAATGGAATTTTATTCTGGGCTGCATTGATCCTTATTGCTCTTGTTCTTGGCCGTTCGTCACACTCTTCCACCTTATGACATGCACCTCTGAATTGCCCAAGATATCTAATAGTATGTAGGGCATGATCGATTTAACTTCCAAATGGGCCTCAGCATACAACTCCCATTTCTGTTTTGAGCTGCTGCTGATTTATTGAATGACAATATCATGCCAATGCGGATTTGGTTAATCTCACGTTACGTGATCAGAGGATGGCGAAGAAAAAAATGTTACATGGTCAAAGCTGTTTTACCAGGGTAAATGAAAAATTTCAATTTATAAAATGGTGGATGTGTGAGCACGAGTTTGAATTCTTCCCTCAGCAAGGAAAAGAGTCAAAAGACGACTTTAACTTCAAACGAGGGAGAAAGCTATTTCTTATGTAATTCACACTCATTGGCCCAAAAATGGAATTATAACTCAATATTCTCCATCTCAGCCCGAAAAAACTTGGAATTGAAAAATTACTCTAATAAACAGTCATTTGGTAGGCCTTTGTTATCTTATAAGAATTGTGAAGATTACTTTAAATATAATTTTGGATCTTCTGATTGCAATAAAGTTTTACCCTGGTCCTCATTTTAAAGTCCCATCTTTGGTTTCAATAATGTAAACTCCATTGATAGGTTCCATAAAATCTAATAGTTGGATGACGTATAAATCGCACAATCTTGAAGGGGAAGCAAGAATCTCCCCTCTTTTATTGGCTTTGCTGATATGGGAAAGACCTTGCACAACTCACATTAACAATAATGAAGTCATGTCAATGCCAATTTGCATTAGTATGGAAACTATTAGCACAAAATTGTTGGAATTAAAACAGAAAACTAATATCAAAATTTAATGAAACTAAATAAACCAAGAGTGTTAATTAAAAACGTGTTTTGTGTTTACCAACAAAAAAAAAAAGTGTTTTCTGGTGTGTTTAATTTGTGAAGAATTAGGGGACCATTTAGAAAGAGAATATTGGTTTTTGTATTTATATTACTTTGGAAAAGGGGGGAAGAATTGTATTTATATTTGTTTATCTCAGCATGATTTCTCCGAATAATCATATATTATTGCTGTAATTATTCAGAAAGTGGACATATAACAATAAAAAGGAGCCTTTTATTTATTTATTTACATGCATCAATATTTCTCTGAAGTATTTTATTTTTATTTTTTAATGTAACAAGAAGCGTTTTAACTTAAACTGAAGATCAATTCGGGAGATAACTAATTATTAATCAAAGCTCAAAAACTATTTGCCATAAAACAAATAAAATAAAGGGTTCCTTTTTTGTCATTTGACATGACAAGAGCACTTTCCTACACACACAAATCAAGTGTGGGTCCCACGCTTAAAAAAAAAAAGTCAAACCAAAATCAGGATACGACGCCGTATCCTTGTTGCAGGAATGAACAGTGCCATTCCTGCAACATGATTCTTATATTTCCCTAAAATAAAACGACTAAAAGGAACTTGCATCTAAGACCATCAACGAAATTGATTCAATTCTTTTGTCCAATTTTCATGTCCCCAATCATGTTTCTTCATAAAAATTTAAAACTAAGAATAAAATTTCAAAAAGTTATTGCCAACCATGACAGATGTGTGCTTTTTTGTGTGCTACATTTTCATTCCCAACCACCTAGACTAAGTTCTAAGTTATAGCTACAATATTCTTCCTTTATTTGCAAGCAAAGTAGTAGTTTTTCCTTTTCCTGGTAGCCAATATTCGAGCGGAAATTCACGTTTGGAATGATAATACAACTAATCACTGTGTCTAAAACAAACGTTTATACCGTGAGTTTCTTTTTTCACTTTTTCTGGAACATAGCCTGAGAGATTGTGTTTATATGTTTCTTAAGGCAAAGCATAATGCGGTTGGCCATTGCAGTTTCCCCTAACTAAAGTAACTAGCAAAAACTGTAACAATAATAAAAAACACCAATCAAATTTTTTTTTTATTTGCCATTATAGATGATAAAGACTTTGATGCATTCTTTATGAAAACATTCCGTAACGTATTATGATGACATAACTCAGTTTAGACAATAAAAATGTCGGGTTTTGTTATCTGCATCAAAGCCTTCAAGGAAGGAACAGAGAGAGAGAGAAAGGGTGCAATGGGGGGACCAAAGCATATGCTTTTTGTTGTTCTATGAATACAAAGCTTGAGACTGGTAAAGTCTCTGTCAAAGGGAGGGAACGAATTTTTAAAATTAGCTTTTGTTTCCATTTTGTCTTTGCAAGAAGCATGCGTGTGGTCTTTATCTGTTTTTTGGCTTTGTATTTTCTCCTTCATTCATTAGAATCCCATGGAGCTTGTACTTTTCTTGCAAACCTTATCCTTTTTATGCAGACAAGTTCACTTTATAGTTAGTTAAAGCACAGAAGACAAAGCAATTGTTATGTTCCTTAAACTTTGCACCCTCCAATTACAAAATCCAATGGTTCATCATGAGCTTAATAATTTGCAAGTGTAAATTTCAAGTGTAATATTCAGAAGTCATATGAAAGTACATTTAGCTGGTTTATTGTGTTTTGAGCTGCATATAGAAAATGATAGATCAAGAAGTAACAAACTCTTCATTTGCTCGAAAATACCTCATTCCTCAAAATGATTTAGCTCAGTATAACATCATTTTCAAGCCGTGACAGCATTACCATTCTGATAGCCAAACGGGTTGAATGAGACTTTTCTATGAACAAAACGTGATGAGTGTGACCAAAGAAGCTGAATGCTTTCATACTATATATTTTTATATTCTTGTCATTCCTCAACATTAGTTGCTTCTAATTTCATGAAATTTCCAAGTGGAAATGCTTCTTGGAGTTTCTGCAGTTTCACCTTAAGTCCCTTGTGACAGCTAGCAGAACCAAAGATAAGAAACAAAAGACAAGTTATACTCTCACAGATAATGTGACAAAAATGCCATCATCACGTGATGATTAGTAACTATTGCTTCCCCCGAATCTATTGCATATCAGTTGTAAGAGAAGATGGGACCAAACCTGTGAAGAAAGAATGTGTACATGATAAATTTTACTAACTCAGCTAATGATATTGATATCAGTTAGGTTTAATTTCAGCTTAAGGTGTACTAATCAGTTTTCGTTGATCCTTTTTAGATATGGTTCACTCTCTGAACCTTCTATACTTTATGTAACCCATGCTGTTAGATTTAAGATTTGATAACCGCTACAATATTTGTATAGTGCTGCTTAAATCAGAGTTTCAACCATATCTCTATTCAAACCTTGTTGCTTGAAACCAAAGGTTTTAAGTTTGCTTTGTGGTAAAGCAGTTTAAATGCTCCACATATATAACGGCGTCTTGTAAAAGTGCTTTCCTACAATACAGTATGATTCTATGAACAATGAATATGTGTCTTGTGACATTTTTACCAAGTGATAATGGCATGGTCTTTATTATTTTTTTTTTTAAAAAGGGTAGGCTCCAAATGTCCTAGTTGTTATGCTTGAGAAAATTGTTACAACCCACCTCATTACTTTTAAATTGTTTGTAAGCAGGCTGTAACGACCCGAAATAAAAAAAAAAGAAAAAACAAAGGAGTCGCCACCAATTTTATTTACTTTGGAAAAATTGGAAAACCTCTTATTGCAAACTGGTCTTTAAAACTTTAGATCAAAGGTTCGGGAGTCTAATTACGCGCAGGGAAGGGTGAAAACTTAATCCCACTGCACCCCTGACACATCCGTTAAAACGGTTACCTTGAATTAATTGTGCGAATTATTAATAACTTTTAAAAATATTTGCTCAATCCCTTAAAATAAATATGATTATTTAATTAAGAAAAAAAGAAGACTAAAATTATTAAAATTTTATTTTAGCTTGACGGAAAAGAGTTCCGCTCCGACGTACCCTCCGGTGCAGTGAGGAATTCAAAGCTACGTCGTTCTCTAAAATATTTGTTTGTTTATTGATTTTAATTTTGGAAAAATTCATTTGATTATATTCGATGTTCCCGGATTACCAGGTTGTCCCAACCAAAATGATCCGAGCGAGACACAGGATTAACAAGCTGTCTCAACTCAGCTAATCCATATATGATAATTTTAATTTTATTACGAGTCATGGGTCACCAAGTTGTCTCAACCAAAATGACCCAAATGAAATATTTCGAGTTAACAAGCCGTCACGACTCAGTTAATCCCTCTTTTTGCTATAAATATAACTTGTGATTTTTTTCATGATTAACTAGACAATAATAATAATAATAATACTATTAATCAGATTGTCTAAAAATACGAAGGAAAAAGAAAGGAAAAAGAAAGAAGAAATAAAAATAGAATTCAATGTAAAAAACAAAAAAAAACAAAAAACAAAAAACAAAAATGAAATCCAATATAATGGAAACGCTTGATATATTACGGTAAAAAGAATAAAGAGGAAAGCAAAGTGTTATGTTGCCATCATTAATATAATGCAAATAAAGAGAAATGAATTAAAAAACGGTAATCGCTGCTTCGTGAGTGTACAAATACATAAACCAAAAGCATATGGTAAACTACAAATGTTAAAATATTAAATCATTGAAACATAGCAACATTGCATCGTGAATATGTATGTAGCTAAACTAAAAAGCTGAAGTTTCCTAACCTATGAAATATTAAAATATTCATTTCATAAGAATTACAAAATGGATGGTGTATCACTTGTATATATTTTCGGTAAACAGCATAGCTACACCCACAGGTGTGTTTCATCAAAAAGGGATTTTGCATGTGATATTTTCTAACAATATTATTTTAATCATATTTTTAGCATTTGATGTTTCTGATAACATCAGGGAAAATTGCACATTAATTAATTCTATCATACATCACAAAGACAAATACTAATATAGGACAAAAATCATGCACCCAAGTTAATACGTGGCCTCCTAATGGTACATGAAACAAATAAAATGGATAGAGATTCATGACCACACATCACATGTGGCTGAGATCAAGAGATAATATATTTCAACTTGTTCCTTCAACATTCCAGCCACGAAGTCTTCGATCAAATGAAGGTCCTCACGATGGTGATGGAGAAACTTGCAGCAGTTGACGGCGAGGGCGTGGTAGGGATCGCGTGAGCTTTGGACGATGTAGCACGGTGGTGGACAATCTCCCAATGGCGACCGTGGCGGGGATGAGACCTTGGGTTTTTGGTATTTCACGTTTTTGGAAGATTGTGATGAAGGAGGTTGTGGAGTTTATGTTGGAGAATCTGGGGTCAGGCTTGGTTTGAGTATTTTTGCTGGTTTCTTCTATGATTTTTCACTTCCTCTCTGTTTCCGTTTTGCTCTCCATAAAATCTCAAAAAAAAAGAACCCCCCTTTTTTCACTTCTTTGCTGTTAGCTTTTATAGAAGAAAAACATCAGTCTTTCCTCCTTAAGCCCGGTGGAT